TCTCTCTCTCTCTCTCTCTCTCTCTCTCTCTCTCTCTCTCTCTCTCTATACTTTTCTTTCATTCTTCCCCCTCATGTTTCGGCACCTGTATTCACACCGTACCTCCTGAATCCCCTATACGACAGCAGCACTTGTTTTGGGCATTTTTGTTCCTCATGCTGTCGGGACTGTTCCTGTTTTCTTTTCCGGGGACACGTTTTTTTTTGGCGATCTAGTATTGCACTTAGATACAATTGAGGGACATGTAAAAGACATAGTTTAAAAGAACCGTTAAAAGCCAGATGCTGCTTTGAACAGTGTGGAATTAGATCTCGTAAAGGCTGTTTGTGCGGACGACCCGTTTTTCATCCATGAAGACGTGTTGGATCATGAGCATAAACAAGTTATAGAAACATCAATGCCAGTACATATTAAAAAAGAACTTCAGGCTTGAATATCGATCTCTAACAGTCCCCCATCTACACACCCTTCCCATTTTCTCAAAATGAGCCGCTCAACTAGAACGCAACAGTTTTGTTCTTCTGCCTCAGATTTGTTTCGCCCTTAAGTGAAGATGTTGAGAAGCAGATTTCACACTCACAATAAATTACAACCTGGCACTCAGTTCCTCAGAATGATTTTGTTTCTTTGTTTTTTGTCCAACATGCACATATTTCCAGCCGTAATTCCTCTTGATATCGGTTCAACCATCGAAATATCTTTTCCTTATTACTGTGTCGTCGTTCGACTACATTTCTCCTGCATTGGAAGCAAAAGAGAGTCGGAGCTCTTCTTCTTCTCCTCCGGGATTCGTTTGTAAGCTCACGTTCTGGCAGGAAGAGAAGATAAAAATGATGTGTATTGCGTTTTACGGCAGGTTTTGACGTTAAGTACTCATAAATGTAAGCACTCTCTCGGTGTATGATAGCGCGGTAGTCTGCAGTGTAATGCAGAGAGGGCTGTTTGTGGAGCAGCTGAGGCCTTTTTGATGTTTTCATCTAATTATTTGATTGAATGCTGTGATCGCCGCCACGGAAGTTTGCTGCAGGCAGCAGCTTAGGACGGACTGCTTTGTGTCTGATGAGGTTTTGCCTCTGTTGTACTTTCACTACGCTTTGTTTGAGTGCACACTTCCTTTGTTAGTTCTCCCTGTTGTCTTTCTTTCCCTCTTGGATTCTTTTTTTTCCCTCACACAACGTATACCTTAAATAGAAAATGAATCTCAACATCTCAAAGGAAATATTTCATGCTTTAAGCGTAAACTGTGAAGGCTCATGAACACCTTCAATTTGTTGGAGGCAGGTGTGTAGGAGGAAACATCTTTAAACAAGAGAAGAGAGAGAATTACAGCACACTGTCCTTTTACTTGCAATGAACTTTGAGCCTCAGTCTGAGGACCGAGATGTTGTATTCATCAATAAGAGTGAATTACAAGTAAAGGGACAGTGTGTGGGAGTTCTCTCCTCTCATCCTTTAAATATAACAACCACAGCATACCTGCAGGAATACTCCCGTGTTGTTGCATTCAATGGCGTCGTAATGATGCTTTGTTAATGGCTAATAAATCACTTACTAATGCTTTGTAAATAAGTTATATGCCATTAATCAGGGCAACCTTTGAGTTGCCAGGTTGTGGAGAATCCCTCTGGCTGGTGTTTATTCTAATTGGTGATAATGCAGTTATAAATGTATATGAACGCATTAATAAACACCTGTGACTTTCACACTTTCTAATAAGTCATCAAGTCAGTTATAGTTAGTTATGAATGTTAATACGTTATTTAGAAATTGATCTTGGTCCAGATGGGTAAAAGTAAACTTTAAATAGTTTGCTGAAAGCTATGGTGGGGATGGTATTATAGAAACATTTGTTGTTATTCTCATTTCATTTTGTAGGACTGTAATGGGCCATCCAGTCATTTCATTCAGCCCAGGATGAACACCATGTAAAAGGGATTTTTCACAACCTGGCAACCATAAGTTAAATGCTTATAACTGAAATAAAGCATTAGAAAATGAGTTATAAACCATGAATAACCGAGTCACAACTCATAACGGTGTTGTTTTTTATTGGGAAGTGATACAAATGTGGTTCTAAATATCATAATATGTCAAAATCTGTTTTGTGTCCGTCCAGGTGGATTTTGCCTTCACGGTCTGGCAGAGTTTCCCGGAGCGGATCGTGGGTTACCCCGCTCGCAGCCACTTCTGGGACAGCAACAAGGAGCGCTGGGGCTACACATCCAAATGGACCAACGATTATTCGATGGTGCTGACGGGGGCCGCCATCTACCACAGGTGCAGCAGCGCGGGCTTTCACATCGCCGTCCTCTGATCTGCAGAACAACTTGGTTCCATTACAGCTGTTTACTTGCTCACTGTTTCGCTCCCCTCTGCTGTTTGCTTTCATGTGCCTTGCTTCAGTTCCCCTCTCTGTTATACGGGGGATCACAGCTTCGCTCTGCTCTCCAGTGTTCAGTCGTCTGTCTTTTGATACAACACTTTTGATGCAGTGATCTGCCGATTATGAAAGTAGGCCCCTTGTTCGGTGTTGCACAGCCTCAGGAAGTCAGTGTTTTGACACCGGGTATGTTTTATCCCAGGAAAAAAAAGTCAATTTGTCTGCTACACGGCGTTTCATAGTTCCTGTGTTTAGTTCTACAACAGCCCCTGTCAGCTTTAATATGGCTTCACTCAGCTGTGATGGGAGCAGTCCATTAAGCCGGAGTCAGCCAATCACTGCGGCCAAACGCTTAATCGCTTTCAATAACCCAGTCGTTCAATCCATCCTGGAGCTCTGAGCAATCAGTCCGTTGATGAACTCAGAGTTCTACCCGAAGGCTTCAACCTGTGAAAGAGTCTGAAATTTGTGGTGCATTTGAATTCAAGTCGCCCCAAACAGTCGACAAGCGCTACTCGATATACACTTTATTGTGTTCAATTGGGAAAAGTGAAACGGAAATGAGGGAAAATACCCGTGATATCAAACCAGACCACATGAATTATGATCGCAGCCAAACTTAACCTGCAACTCACCCTTCAGTCTGCTTTAGTTTCCCTTTAAATGCTTTCACCTTTCTATTCTTGCTCACACGTGGCATCGCCCGTTATTTATTCTCATTTCATGATTTTACTCTTCCTGTATTCTAACCCACTTCTCTCCTCTCTCTCTCGCAGGTATTACCATCACCTGTACACCAACTACTTACCCACTAGTCTGAAGGGCATGGTGGACCAGCTGGCCAACTGCGAGGACATCCTGATGAACTTCCTGGTCTCCGCTGTCACCAAGCTGCCGCCCATCAAGGTCACACAGAAGAAACAGTACAAGGAGACCATGATGGGACAGGTGGGACTGCTTTGTGACCCTTCTCATGACCGGATCCGTGTCGGTTTTTAATTTATTTCTGAATTCCTTCACTGAGATGACTCATTGGCCCTTTTTTTTTTAAAAGAGCTGTGACACCAAAATTCAGGACAGCTGTCAGTTGAGAGGATTGGTTTACATTAAAGAAAATCACATGACAGGATGTGACTGAACTCGGAACAATCGTAGACTTATTATATTATCCACTTTGATCGTATCCTACTTTTTCATATGAGTTGTGATTCATGCTGAAGCCAGTATTGTTTTCTCCCCATCATCAGTGTGTGTCTCGGCCTTTCAGCTGGAATGAACTCTCGCTGCTTTGTGAACAGCATGAGTTATTCACCTGAAAGTCTTTGGTGCGACCCGTGGGTAAACAGGACAAGTCACTTACTGTACGGCGGAGAGACAAAGGCCCAGAGAGGAGGCGTCTCAGTTCTTATGGCTTCCGTCATAGTTTGTAGTCGAGCTCCTGGCTCGCTAATGTAGAATATGATCCAGCTGATGATTTATTGAGAAGCGTTAACGTCAGTCGTCGTTAAGTAATGGATTTCTCTTGTCACGGGGTCTGAACTGTGACTTTGATTGAATGAAAGAAAGCGGCAGATGTTTGTTATTGTATCCCTAAATATCCCTAAACGTGGATATTTATACAAGTTTTTTCCTACAGTCGAATGTTTTGTGTTTATGTCGATAAGGTAACAGTTATCCAATACTTTTAGCTAATTATTCAATTTTTTTATTCACTACTTTTAGGTAGTTCTTTAAACTGCTACTTTTACCTTATTACATCCATTATTTTCAGCTCATCATTTCAACTGTTCAATAGTAAATGTGATAAAACAACACACCGATATGTAATCCTAGTTGCACCTTCTATTTCCCTCCTAAACACAAATTGGACGACAAACAAAATCATATTTTTTTGTCAAATGAATTGAGCCACTCACTCGCAATCTCTCCATGTGCTTAGCGGTTTGCGAAAATGGGGAAAAATCTTGCAAATGGTCCGCACTGCAAATGTGGTTTAGGTTAAAAGAAAACCCATTACCCCGTACAAGCTGGAGAGCATGTGAGTGTGCATGTGTGTCGGCTTAGAGAGAGAGAGAGAGGGCTGCATGTGCTGTGTGGATGTAGGAGGGCATAGTCGCTGTGTGCGTGGCCTTATCGTTAACGATATTATCCTTGGGAATGTGTGTGAAGCGTGTATAGCTGAGTGTGTGTGTGTGTGTGTGTGTATATATATATATATATATATATATATATATATATGTATATATATATATATATATATATATATATATATATAGTGTTTGCAAGACTGGAGCACTATAAGCCCACTATAATACCCACTGGTGTACAAGCACCGCGTGGTTGCGACTCGCTGATCGAAAGCAATAATTATCATTTACCGTGATAATGACACTAACATGCTTTTTGTTTGTCTCCCCTCTTCTCCCTCTCCATTCCCAACAGTCTTCGAGAGCTTCCCGCTGGGCAGATCCGGACCACTTTGCCCAGCGGCAAACCTGTATGAACAAGTTCGCCAGCTGGTTTGGCGCCATGCCGCTGGTCCACTCCCAGATGAGACTGGACCCCATCCTGTTCAAGGACCAGGTCTCCATTCTCCGCAAGAAATACAGGGACATCGAGAGGCTCTGACAGGACCAGCGCCCCCTCGGGGGAGACCCCACGCAGGGGGAGGCGCGCGAGAGAGACTCTGTGGAGAGCAGAAGGACTAGCAGGACTCCGGCGGGATGGACGGGGAGCGACACAGCTCTGTTTTCCACTCAGCACATTGCCAATGACCACAGCGCCGCTGCTGCCAGGACTTGACACGGTTAGGGATGAATGGGAAACAAGCAGATGGCGTTTGGATATGAAAAATACAAACAAAAGCCGCAAACACAGACCGACAAAGAGGTACACAAACTGATGGACATGCCAAACAGTTGCTGTATGTTTTGCAAATGTGCAAACACACAGCACACACTACTGACGACGGGAACTCTTGGATAGAATATTTTTTTGTACAACATGAACACGGACGACGTTGACCTTCCTGCTCTCTCGGCACACGTGCAGGACGGTAGAAGAGGGAAGGTGTCGGTGATCGTAAAACCTGGCAACCCCGCCCGTCACGAATCCTACTGGCTGCCCCTAGAAGCCCTCCCCAGTCTGCATCAGGACATAATACCGGACTACCAAAACCCCCTGCTTCATAGCCCAGGAGACCCTGTTCTTTAGTTGATTTGATTTCTGTACAAATCAGCTCTCTGGTGTCACTGTTGACCTTTTATCCTCTCTGAGAGGTTTAAAGTCAGAGCGTCATTCCGTTCTCAAGGCAGAAGAGGTAAACAGTGTCCAATCTGTTATTATAGTGGCCTGACGAGGCTTTTATAGCCAAGCAGCCATTGTTTCTTGAAATTCTTGGCTATCAACACATCCTTGAGCCCGAAAACATCCCATCTTTCCTTTCCTCGGCTCCTTCCTTGATGTGCTGATACGGCTTTTATAATGGTCTATCTGCGTCCCTGTTATCACTAAGATAAGTACGAAAAATATCTCGTTTCATATCCCATTTTCCTCTCATACTCGCTAAGGCAGTTGTACTTTTCTCATCTTTTTTTTCCCCACTTTCAACTTTTATTTCGCCCTTTACACTCTCTGTACTTTGACTTGTGTGTGTGCGTGTGTGTGTGTGTGCGTGTGTGCGTACGTGTTGTGTGTACAGAGCCTTGAAAAGTTGGCTCATCCAACCATAAGCTCGAGCGGAGTACATTTTCCCTCCGTTGGAATGAGCGAAATGAACATTTCTGGATGAAATGGAGCAGAACGTTGCATTCTAACACAGACTCGTTCTTTCCCATTTATTTCTCCCTGCATGGCCCTGGAGCACTTCCCCCGCAGGGAGGAAATGGAATAAAATGTCTGTCCATAGCAGGTCTTTAGTGACCAGCGTCATTTCACAGGAGTGCTTGTAGGGGGATTTTTTTCTTTTAACGTGGAGTGCATCAGTACCATTCTGACATCAGGGTCTGCCTTTTAGAATTCTTTTTTTTTTATTGCACATCACGTTGCCTACATCAGCTTGATGGTCGTCAGTCCGGTGCAGCTCTCCTGCTGCAGTGATTTATTTTTTCTGTGACACATCAGAGGACCTCAGAGCCATTAAATTGACAAAAGGTTTTCTCCCCCATTTGTCAGGCAGAGATACGTTCGGGCTTCAATTAGGTAACCCTATTTCATTCGGAGGGCTGTTTTATTCCCAGGAGACAAGCTGTTGATGGGACACTAACATTATGGACCGTTGTATTGTGGAAGCAGTGACCCACAAACATGACCTTCTAGCTAATGCTAGCCTGAGCTGGAGGACAGCTCGCCCTCCCCTGATTGTCCGTCACTCAAAAACGGCTGCTCACATCGTCGCCATCGTATCCACTTCAAACCGCCTGACATTTTGCACCTTATATTACCTTATTGGTATTGAACAACCAGATCGAAAACGCTAAAATGACTAGCTGTCTCAGACTTTAATGAATCATTTCTAAGAGACGGGCTGTGTGGAGCTGTGTTCTCGCCGTCATTGGGTCGGCATGCGGCCGAGAGCACAGGCAGTTCCCTCTCACACTTAGTCTGCAGACACTTAAAAGAAGCAGCATGCTTTTAGTGGCCTTTCTGTCGAGCAGGCATTCAGCATAATGTCTCAGCCAAAGCTGTTCAGTGTGTGTGTGTGTGTGTGTGTGTGTTGATCAGTAGCTGTCTTTGTCAATTGCCAATATCAGTGTCACATATTCATTTACGGTTTTAGTTTACATTTTTTTTTTCGTTGATTTCTTCTCATTTTATTCTACAAATAGTTCATATAAAATGCATCGCAAAGCCTTTTCAGTGTCAACAAAGGTGCGGTACACACTTTACAAGTGTCATATCCAAATGCTACCAATGCAAAGTCATTCTGTTTCAGCATGTATCAAACACAGCAGGACTATCAAGTATGTCTGTTTGTTTCCTCACGCCATTGCTTTAAATATCATGCTTTGTATTTACGTTCTGGGACTTCAAGTTTGGAGTGCTGTTTGTTTGCCGGGAGAGATTTATGATCTGTTTAATGCAGAGTCACAACACAGCAAATGTTCACTCGTCAACTGTATGTGATTCTGGGAAAGACATGCTCCTCCCCCTCCTCCCTTGGTCTGCATCTGGTCCCTCTTTCATCTTCAGAGAACCATATTGTTTGAATCCATTTCAAGCCTTTTATGCCTGAGCGTTTGAATCAGTGTGTGTGGGTCATCTCAAGAGAACCACGTCCCCCAGCTTTGCAGATATTTCATAAAAAAAAATCAAAAAAACACCACCCATTTCAAATCCCTGCGACTCTCAGCACTGTACGTACATAGGCATATATTTATTTTTTGAGAAAAAAAAAAAAAAAAAGTGTATGAGACGACGCGGCGAGAACATAAGTCTGATCCTGCATTGCTGAGGGGAGGTAATGGTATTTATTCAGTTTATTTTCTACTCGCTGTGCACTAATGTGCATTAATCCACAAAGATGCCGATATAACAGCTCATGTTATGTTTCACTCTGCATTGGTTTTCCGGGGGGAAAAAAACACATCACGCTCTCCTCACGAGAGATGTAACATTTTCACAGTCATAAAGTTGGGTTTTAACTCTAAAAGATTGCATACACCAGTGATCTAGAATTGGATTGGGATGCACAATCTCGGCTCTCCGCGGGAGTCAAATTGCAAAGTCCCAATAAAGACTACGCCAACTGACACACGGAAAATAAGCAGATGGGTCCTCTGAACCAGATGGAAACATTTTCAGCTTCAGCTGTAACATCTCTCCCTCACATGCATTACAATAATGGGTCTGAGGCTGTGACACAGTTGTTTAAATTGCCTCTTTCAAAAGCTTGGTTTCAGGTCAGATAACTTGGCAAGAGAAACTCGCTCCATCTCTGTTGGCGTGCTGCACAGTACGTCATCGAGTCCAGAAGTCAAGAGCGCGATGGATGTGATTTGGGCCACCAGGAAAACCTCTGCATCCGCTTATAAACGCCTGTCACGTCCGCCATTTGATCAGGGGTAACATTATGCAAGTTATCATTGTGCGCTTCGAAACAGATGGAAGAAGGTTTGCCCGTCAGTTTGGTGTTTATAGTGGCGACAGCGTGTGTGTGCTGGAAAACTAGTCTGTTCTTGATTTGTGCCTTTTTATCAACATGTGAGTTCATTGACATGCCGAGCACTGTCTGTCCTAGACTTGTTAATTCCAGTAGACGGGCAGGAATAGCCCCGTATGCAGGGCCCCAAACAGCCCTGCCTTTCATACACTGGATGAGTCACCGCTTCCATTTCTCCGTATTATAACGCCCCGCTTTCATCTTTATGTTTGGACACGGTTGCGTAGGCAACAACGTATGACCACTTCCTGTTTGGGATTATTTATCAGTGAATCGGCCGCATCACTTTACCAATCAGCAGCAATGTCTGTTGGTCTGTAAGGACTCGGCCAAAGCCCAGCTGTCCTGATGCCTTCTCCTCCCTCCTACCTTGTAATTAACAGAAGACTTTTATAGAGGTCACAAATGAAATAGATAAATGCCAATTTTGTAAGAATGATTTATAAAAAAATAAACTCATATTTGATGAACTGCATCGCCTTGTCCCATTTTTTTTATAGACTGTGTTTCAATGTTTCCATTTTAAAGACCTTGTGGCATAAAAAAATGTCAAACTACAGTATGTCAGAAAAGTCATATTTTAGCCATAAGTCAGTGTAATGTGCCTTAAGATGCTGATTCCTTTTTTCCACCAAACCTGCATTCTGCAAAGACCCGCCCTACTGTGTCTCTGATGGGCTAGTACGAGTTAAGTTTATTGCTGATGACTGTTTTTAAGAAGATTCTGACATACGTCTGGCCTCCTGCAAGAACATTCTCTAGTCCTTATCTTAACTTTCTCTTCCTCTTTTACACGAGTAAGCCACGTCAGATTTAGCAAACGCACCTGACATCCAGCGGAAATGTGATGATTGCCACCTGTGTGTAAATGAGCCACAATTATACAACGTTAAGGCCACATAGTATAGCATGTCGAAAAAATTCATAATATAGTATATCGAAAAAAGTCATAGTATAGCATGTTCAAAGAAGTCATGAAAAATTCATAGTACAGTATGTCGAAAAAAGTCATAGTATAGCATGTCGAAAAAGTCATAAAAAAGTCATAG